CATAGGTACTCCTGAAATTTATCTGAAAGATCCACATTCCCATTAAAACACCCGCATACAAACACTAAAAGCTGAAATCAACAAAAAACATCTTTATTCAACACTCCTTTTCCATGCTTACTATAGCAGGGAGGGGGAACATATTTTTAAGTAGGATTATTTTTTTGTAGTACTTGAGACCAAGACCGGTCTCGAGTACTACAACACTACTCACTGCAAGATTCAGATGACATAACAAATGAAATAAATGTGTTGATTTGTCATTTTCCCTCCTTTTTTATATTTTAAACTCTAAAACACTGTTGGGATATGATGGTAATTATATTTTTTCAAACAATATCTTTTGTTTTTTTCAGAACCAGAGGTCAGGAAACTGGAGAGGATCCAGCTGCATTGTACAGCACAGTCAACAAAACCTAATGACCAAAACAGATATTGCATTTACAAATTTACAAATGAATTATATGCCCTAGAGAAACTTACTTACTGCATGGGTCTGCTTTTTAGAATATGTAAAGTATTTTTTGCATTCACCTTTAAATATATATTTGTTTTTGTTTTCATGTAATGTTTTATTAGTATTTGACCTGTATTTTAATTAAAATAAACAGATTTTTTTTTGAAAAATAGGTCTTATACAGTCAATAAGACTGCATCATGTGACTTTTTTCCACACTGATCAATTTGAACCCATGGTGTGCATCCAAGCGATTCATCAAACTGTGTTTTCTTCTGTTCCTGTTTAGGGTCTGTCAGTGATGCTAAACTAAACTATGACCACATTTACGATAAGATTTCCTTAGATGGTCTTTGTTGGTGGTTGGATGTTTTGAAGTGCCTCAAAACTAGTTTGTTACACTCTCTTAAATAGATAGAAAGTTCATAGTTTGTGTGACGAAGTGGGTTTGCTCACCACTTGTCCCATACAGGCCATTTGGTTATTTATCATAGCTTGTGTAAAAGTGCACCACTTACGATCCCGGGTTGTTTGTGTTTGCATTATGTTACAGTCGACAGCAAAGTTAGTTTCAGTTCCATTTTATTAGTTTAAACATGGTTTAATTGTTTTCCTGTGTTAATACTTACAATTGTTTGTTCCTTTGTTCAGTTCCACCATGCAGGATAATTGTTTGGGGAAGGGCCGGCCTAAGCATTTCCTGTTTTATAGGAATAGGGTGGTCATGGATGACATTACCGGGCCAAACCAAGTAGAGGGTTTTCTTTCTTTATAGGAATGTTTCTTTTGGTTGTTTTTTTTTGGGGGGGGGGGGGGTGAGGCGGTGCTGCTGTGAACACGTGCCTCTTGTTAGCGTTGCTACAAGTTTGATGCGTTATTTTTCTTAACTCTTTTTGTTTGTTTGAATTGAATTATCCTTGAAAGTTTTCCTCCCCTGGAGGTTGGCCTTTTGACATGCAAATACTAGAGACATCGCCTGGGGTTTGGTAAAGGGTCTGCAGAGACTCAATCAGACATGCATTGCTTAAGGACGCTGTAAAGGTGTCAACAGACACTTAGCAGGACAGCAAAAAGAAGTGTCCAATCCCTCTCCCTATAGGGTGCCTCAGGACGTCAAAGTACCGGACTTCTGATCCCTTTTTCCCATAGAATGGCTGGGCCATAAAACACCACTCCTGTCTCTTCTTTTAGCTGATGTGCAAACGTCATAAGCCAGGAATGCGAAAGGGGTACTTAACAACTCTTTCCTTCTTGAGCAAAAACAATGTTTCATTATAAACTGTTATTCTCTTTAAATAATAATCCTTGCTAAGTTAGTAGTGGCGCTGCCTCTTAAGTTAGTAGTTATGTTACCTTGTTGTTGCTATCTGTTGTTGATATTGTTGCTGAAAAGAATCTAAATAAGTTAATTTTGCAGTGTTTTAATTTTCAGCAAGGTTAATGACATTCTTTCATTTTAAGCGTAACCAATGCTTGGTCACAATACTTTCTGACACTTCCTTTAGAAAAGATATGATAAAGAAATTTCATCCTATACTGTGCCAGCTTGAATTTAATGTTAACTAACCAAATTCCACAGCTCCTGAGCAAAGATTGTCTTGGGGTTAATCCAAGCTATCGTCATGTAACCTGAGCTCCCCCAATTGGACAAAATAAGTATTACATGCCATCTGATGAAATAGAACGTCTCGGGTTACGTATGTAACCCTTGTTCTCCGAGAAGGGGAACGAGACACTGCGTCGGTGACGGCACTATGGGAAAGCCTCTGGGCGTGGCAGGGCTGAAATCATGAAAAAACGAGATCAGTAACTCAGCTGCAGCTAAGCTGCTCGGGAGAAGGTTTTCTTCAACAAATGCTGAGTTTCTCTGACTCTTCCCCTCCTGCGGAGCCTGAAGCAGCGGTCTGACGCAGCGTTTCATTTCCTCATTCATACTGTCGATACCAAAGCACAAACAGAACACATTCATTTGCAGAAGTTTTTGCAAACATCAAAGTCCCAGTTAGATATAGGTTCCGTACCCAAACATGATCTTCAACATGATCAATCTGTCATCAATGAAAGGACTGAGACAGCGACATTGTGGATTCATCCTCTGCACAGATAAAATCTATACGGGCTACTCTGTCCTTCTGTGTATCACTGTGACTCTGTGGACATTAAGGCAGCAACAGTTACACTGAAACATTTAGTGGCCTACACTACTGCAGTAATCACTGTTTCAATCAAACTAATCTATATGCCTGTAGCCTAACTGATCAATGAACAATCATTTGTCATGTTTAGGGCTGTCCCTAAAGCTAAACTGAGGCTTATTTTTGACCTCTCTCTCTCCCCCTCTCTCTCCCTCCCTCCCTCCTGCCATTCACCGGTCTTGTGCAGAGTTTTATGTGCATGCCGTGCTGCCGACAACTGCATGCGCATCGCGGTTCCTCGCGGGTCTAAAAACGATATAATATTCTTTGTGTGGTTCATCAACGGTGATAAATTATCCAAAAGTCCCGCGACAACTCGGCACAACACCGGTGAAGCTGGGGCTCCATCTTTTCACCAAGTATTCCTCTTCTGCCACCACAAACATACAAGCTACGCCTACACATGACGACCCAGGTTACAATTTGGATTTATTTATGCACTTTAAAAACATTTATTGAAAGTGTTTTTCTTTACACATGTTTAGTTAAAGCATCAAACATTGAAATGTATATTGTAATTGGCTGTATATTAACTTATTGTCAGAAAACTGGTGGTTCTATGTAAAATTAAACGTTGACACTAACATATAGACAAAATTGCATGTTTCGCTGCGAAGCTTCGAATCAGGCTCCACCCATAGAAGCATCGTATCTAAATGTGAAATGAGCATAATTTTTTTACATAAAATAGGCTGGACGTCTAAAACATTACAGTCAGTTTGAACAGAGACACATTTTCAAATGCAAATGACCAAAATTATTATTACTGGGTCGGACTAATCATAGGTCCATGACTAAACTGTGTCTTATCTATATTTTCGTCTTCAGTTATTGCCAGTGGTATTTTGTCCCTGTCAGGTTACAGGTGAATAAATATAATTAAAACCCAATGCAACATTACAGAAATTCAAGTCTGGTAAATGATGAATGAGCAGACTACGCTGAATAAAATGTATTATTGTTAACTAAGTGACTCCTTTCATCCTGTGATTTAAGAGAAACATCATGGTCCACGTTTTGAGCATCACTGGGTTAAAATAGAGGCTTGTTTACCTGTTGCCATGGTGAATCGTCCTATCAGATCTCCATTGATGATTCTTTTTTAAATTCCCCTGCACACGCAGGGACCCTGGATCAGCTATAATGATAATAATAATAACCTTTATTTAAGAGCACTCCAAAAACAGGTGATTCACAACTTTTCAAAAACAAGTTACAAAGAGCTTTAACAAGTGTAAAGACAATAATACCCACGAGACAATAATACAAAAACATTACAAGATAAAAGCATGAAAAACATTGAAAAGACTAAAATACACAGCTATATCTGATGTTATGGGGAAGGCCTTCAGTCAGCAGCCATACCACAAAGTAAATTATTTTTTTAATTAAACGGATTTGATGACTTGATCTTTAAAACCTGATAGCTAGTCAACAATAGTTACGTCTGTGCCATCATCCCCTCCATGAGACTTCAGAGTTAGGGTGTATGATCTCCAACAAATATTTAATACAAGGTTTTAGTAAGCAAAAAGTAAATAAATGCTCCTCCGATTCCCCCCTAATGTCCTTTTCTATGTCTTAAATGAATGGACCGAAGCTGTTGCACCAACATTGATAAATATTCCTATTGTATCAATAAAAACTGAAACACCTGATAAAATACGTTATTCTTTTTCAGTTCTAGTTACAGAGATACGTTTTTGTGACACTGCTTATCCAGGATAGCTGTTCCCAAAAACACGCTGGTACCTTGATCCTCTTTGTCTTACAGGATATTACATAGAACCTACACAAGTTGTCCAGTCTTGTGCCATGGAGAGCCGACAGTCTACAGGTTTTCTCCCCTCTGCCTCTAAAAGTCTTTAAAATGACATGAAAACCTGTAGACTGTTAATTCTCCATGGCAAAGGGTTTGACTCCCAACGCAGTTTTGTACATGTGCAGTAGTTCAGTTAAGTTTTACAAAAATAAATATATGAAAATAAGTTTGTTCTCTGATGTTTTGAATCTGATTTTGGTTTCTGATGTCATCTGTTTTTCAGTGGAACAGAGTCAGAATGGCTGGGGAGTGACTTACACTCCAACTCAGATCTGTGCCTTAAAAGGATCAACAGTGGACATAAACTGTACCTACACATATCCATCCAGCTTAAATAATCATGATACCAAAGTTCAGGAAACATTCTGGTTTACGAAAGAGAGTAATAACGTTTATGTGGATCTGAAAACGGACCCAGAATATTCAGGTTGTGTGGAGTATATTTGTCAGAACAAACGCTGCACTCTGAGAATCACAGACCTGAGAGAGAGCGACTCAGCTGAGTACAAGTTCAGGTTCATAACAAACCAAGAACTTGGGAAATATACTGGTTCACCTGGAGTCACTCTGTCTGTCACAGGTAACATTTTCATTTAAATAGTTTTTTGTTCCAAAGGATCAATATCAAGCAATCAGTGCTGTAAATGTTTCATGAAGAAAATCTAGGCTCAAAGGTCCAGTTACTAAATGAAGTTTTGTCACAGGTAACATTTTCATCTGAATATTTATCAATTTAGTTTCATGTGTTCAACATCTCATGAAGGTTACTTGCATCTGTGTGCTTGTATGTGTTGACAGTTAGAAATGAAGATTTCTGTTATTCATGTATTCAGATCTGCAGGTGCAGGTGAGCAGATCAAAGTATTCTCCCTGGGCAGAGCTGAAGTGTCACAGCAGCTGTCGTCTACCTGGCCATCCTTCCTACATCTGGTACAAGAACGGACAGAAAATTCAGGAAGAAACATCTACATATTCAGGCCCCTTTGATCCTGCAGGCAGCTTTTCCTGTGCTGTACGAGGATATGAGAAGTCCCGCTCTCCTTCAGTGTGTGAGTTTACATCCAGTCTTCCACTGACATGACACCATCTGGTGGAGTAGTGTAACTAATGCTGTATCATGAATATATGTGTCTTTAATGGGTGACAGTAATTGTGTGTGTGTTTGTGCAGTTTAGTTCACTCAAGCTTTTTGTTTTAATTTTTAAGCACTAGTTCCACAACAATTTGAATGAGGGATACTTTCCCACAAAATAATTATTAGCAAATAGTTAGTAAATATAAAAGAAAAAAAGGAAATCAGCTTTTACTATAAAGGTGTGTAATTGGTTCAGGAAACACCAGAAGAAACACAAAGTCTTCAGAATTTTTGTGACCACAGCAACTCTGGACAGCAGCAATAATCAAACATCTAAAAAAAATGGAAATGTAATCTTTTTTCTTTCTTTAATTTCTTCCTGAATAAATGATTCTCTTTAGGATTGAACTATCAACAACAAAAGACTGTTTAACAAAAACATTTTAAAGTTAATGTATGTTAATATCTCCTGCAGATGCTCCAAAGTTTCCCTCCGTGTCAGCGAGTCCCTCTGGTGATTTAGTGGAGGGCAGTTCAGTAAATCTGACTTGTAGCTGTGATGCTAAGCCAGCAGCTAACTATATCTGGTACAAGAGGACTAAAAATCCAGACCATGAAGACCTCAGTAAAGAACCACAGCTTGTCTTCAGCTCCATCCAGTCCTCTGACTCTGGAGAGTATTACTGTGCAGCTGAGAACCAGCTGGGGAGGAGGACAACTAAATACATCATTAATGTGAAATGTGAGTGAAACACAGGTTTAATGCTATTGAGAGATTAAATACACTCTAAAAATATCATCACAGTATAACATCATGTCAAGTGAACTTCTGGGATATCAATCTGTCCAGTTAGGAAGAATAAGTAATTGTGAATCACCTGTTTTTGGAGCGGCAACAGCAAGACAACCCCCCAAAAAATGAATGGTTTTGCACGTGGTGGCCGCAGACAGTTGTTCTCTCCTTACCCTTCCTGACTGATTGTTCTTTAGTTTTGCATTTTGTTAGCGTCCTCGTCACCACTGGTTGCATGACGCAATATCTGCAGCCCATTCAAGTTGCACAGGTAGTCCAGCTCCTCCAGGGTGGCACATCCATATGTGCCACAGCAAGAAGGTTTGCTGCGTCTCCCAGCACAGGTTTAAAAGAATGGAGGAGATACAAGGAGACCGATAATTGCACGAGGAGAGCTGGACACCGTAGACGGGACATCAACCCGGCAGCAGGGCCAGAACTGCTTCTTTGTGCGAGGAGGACCAGGAGGAGCACTGCTGAGACGTTGTCAGGAGTGCATACAGCCCCTTGGGCCATACATACTACTGAGTCACATCATGAGTTGCAGTTTAACAGTTTAATTTTTTAACTTTTAACTTTTCAATGTGTCCAGTCCTCATTCAGTAGGTGATTTTGGTTTCCACTGACTGTTAATAATAATAATTTTGTTCTCAACAAATTATACAGTGTACAGTAAATATTTAGAACTTCAAGATCTGATGTTTGATTTAAGTGTTCCCTTAATGTTTTTGAGAAGTATATGTCACATACTTTGATTTTTTCAGCTTGGGCTTTAGACTTTTCAACAAGAATTTTCAATAAGAAGGCTGCAGTACAAACTGGGCTTTCTTTGAAAAAAGTGGACATTCAGTGTTTTTGGGAGTTTGACCCATATTATGGACTACAGGTCAAGATATTTCATCCTCTACTGCTTCAGTTTGATAAATTATTTAAATCTGTTTCTCGTGAGTCCCCCAACTTTGTGGAAGTGCAAAACTAAATCTCTGGAGTATCCTTTTAACTCGACAACGGAAAGATTTTACCTGCCTGCTTCAAGTTTTCTGCTGTAATTCACAGAGCAGCTTCAGTACATTTAGACCACGATCAACTTTCCACATCCTGCCAAATATGCATCAACTTATGATAATCTATATTCATGTAATACAGATGCTCCAAAGCTTCCCTCTGTGTCAGTGAGTCCCTCTGCTGAGATAGTGGAGGGCAGTTCAGTGACTCTGACCTGCAGCAGTGATGCTAACCCAGCAGCTAAATACACCTGGTACAAGGAGAAGCAAACTCTGCATCAAGGACCAGAAGGAAGTTATTATTTCACTTCCATCAGCTCCAAGGACAGAGGAATCTACTTCTGCAAGTCTGAAAACAAATATGGGCAGATAAACTCTACATCTCTATCTATAGATGTTCAGTGTAAGTTCACCTTTTTATTTCATGATCCAAGAGTAATTCTAAATCATACATGTGAGTGGAGTATGTCTCAATACATAATGTTTAATTCCTTACTAGATGCTCCAAAGCTTCCCTCTGTGGGGTTGGGTGAAGTGGAATACAGTTCAGAGTAACTGAGCTTTGCACTGCCTTATTTAAAACTCCCAGTTGTTTGCACCTCACCTGCACTAAATATTTTTAATATATATATTAAAATATATTTATTAATGTAATTTGCACTAAAATTCCAAACAAACAGGCAAAGTGAATTTCAAGTCAGAAAAATACTGCAGCTTTGTTCGCACTAATTTTTCAGAGCAGAGCTAAAGTCGTTGATTCAAAATGAGCTCGCTTTACAATGACAGCCTCGATATTTAGCCAATGCAGATTTTCATTTAGAGGAGAAATTTAAGATGATGCCAGGGCGAACCAGATTTAGCCATGCACATGTGACTGAGAGAAGGTCATAGGACAGACCCTGGACACACCACAGAGGTTAAATCTTCCTGCTGGCCAGGGGGAGCTTGGGTATCCCAAAGGAGGACGTTTATACAATGTAATGAGTCTCTTAGGATGGCAAAATATCTTCTACTATTTCAAAAGAACATACATAATACATGTGCAAAGAAAAATATTTTTGTTATATCACACTATGTGGCCAAACATCTGAACACACTCAAATGAGTCATTTTGTCTTATTCCAGTGTTCCCAGGAGTATGGAAATCAGCAGTCTTTGGAACAACATCTGCTGTTTTCCTGGCTATCATATGGCTCTCTGTCCTCCTACTGATAGGGTGAGTAGATTTGTTTTACTGATGCATTTTACATTGAATACCAGAGTCTTGTTAGCAGCCAGGTTGGCAGATGAATTATTATTTCCTTGGTTTTTAATTCATTCTAACCAGGAAAAAGAGATCCTCCAAGCAATCATCTGAGCCTGGAGATAGACCAGACGACAGGGAACAGGATGACCTTCATTATGCCAGTTTCCACTTCTCCAATAACCAGACAGATGCTGTCTACTCCAACATCATACCAGCTGTCCCCCGAAGACACAAGGAAGAGGAGGAGGAGGAAGTTGTTGAGTACGCTGCTGTCCAATTTAACAGTGCCAGTACTGCCCCAAGGTGAGCAGCTCCTCTCACAGGAACATTATCCTCACTAAAACCTCAACATGGCATGCAGTTAATGGAGCTGATGATCAAGTATTTCATTTTAACACTTTCATTCCTGTTGCATTTGCTTGTTTTCTTTACATTTTCACTATCACTGTTTGTATTTGTGAAGGAATTTAAGGGTACTATGACCCAGGTTTCCGCAGGTCATGATAGGGTCAATTACTGAGCTAAAGGAAGCCAAAGGTGACAGCCAGGGCCTCTCCAAAACTGTAGGCCAGACTCTGTCTCTCCTCTCTGCCTGCTTGTCGGCTGACTGATGCAGCTGAGTTGATAAGGATGCACTGTTATACATCTGTTAGGAAACCCAAGGTCAAGATTATCTTTATGTTGTCTCATTACAGACTGACTGGCTATGTAGAAAAGGACACTTATTTGGACACTTAGTGAATCTGTGTAGGTCTAGGAAGGATAAATATCAGACAGGAAGTACCCTTCAGATTTGTTGTTGGCATTTCATGTGTTCACATGTTGTGTGCCGGCACTGCATCTCCTCGGCCGAGTCTCATTAAACCATGCTGTGTAAGCCTTCATCAGTCTCTTGAAACGTCTTCATCACACCTGAACCTGGCTCACAATATTTTCACAGCAGTTTGAGTTAATACTATATCTTTATCTTTTTTTCTCAGGACCAGAAGTCAGGAAACTGTGGAGGATCCAGCTGCATTGTACAGTACAGTCAACAAAAGTGCTGAACGCAACCGGAACGTCTAATCTGTGCTTTCTGTCATTTTTAAATGTGCTAGGCTCTAGGGATGGCAAAGTTAGTCTGTGGTTGGTTGGGCTGTCAACTGGTCCACCACTTTGGTCCAGAGTCCAGACTGAAATAGTTCAACAACTATTTGATGGATTGCCATAAAAGTTTTTACTGACATTTATGGTTCCCAGAGGATGCATCCTACTGACTTTGGGGATCCCGACTTTAACCCTGGCACCAGAACCAGGGTGTCATTTTGTGACATATCTTGACAACTATTGGATGTGTTATTTAATTCCCAGCAGCCTCAGCTGTACTTTCTGTTTAGTGCCAATTAACAACTGTTAGAAACTAACACAACTAACATGGTGAATATGATAAACATTATACCTGCTAAACAAAACTAGAACCCACTTGTAAAACCATGTCTCCATAATGCTAGTGATAAAAAAAACTCTGCAGGATACATTTTAACCTCATTACAGTTGTCTGTCTTGCTTCCTTTTTAATTCCTTTTTATTGTGGTCCATCTCCTTTGTTCTGTAATGTTTTGTTTTGCCTAAAATAAAAACATGAAATGCTCACAAGTCATATCTACACTGAGGCCACAAAATGGGAGTACATATTGCTTCATTTTAAGAGGTTACAAGTAAAACAGGCAGGCGCACAATGGACTGGACACTAACATGCTGGAGTTTCAGTCCAGCAGGAGAAGCTTAACAAAGTGACAACATCTGTGTGCAGCGGACAATTTCAGTCTGTCACAGTCAATAGAAGAACTGCATGTGAACTAAACTAACAGCCACAGTCCTCTGATGTAGTAAATACAAAAAGTTTAATTTGTGTTGCAAATTGTAACATCTACACGAGGACGTCATAACTCCGTCAGGACAGAACTTCACCATCACTGACATCAGACCTGAACACAAATATTACTGTGAAGCCCAGAACAAAAGAGGATGTCTTAACTTCACTTTACATTTGACTGTTGTGGCAGGTACGTTTTTCACTTCACTTACACATGTACACATCAGACATCTTAATCCACCATATGATGAAAAGTGGGGAGATTAAGGTTAAAAATGCAACTTGCTGAGTAGAAACCAGTAAGGCATTTTGTCATAACACTATTTCAGCAAATAATTTACCTGTAAATGTGATTAAATACATTTTGGATAGAATCTAATTATATGCAGGTTTCATGAAAGAGGTACATTGAGCTCATTTTGTCGTCTCTCCCATCAGTTAGACTCTGATCCTGCGTATGAGAACGTCTCAGACTTGAAGGGCGTCACTGCAGCACAGACAGAAGACACAGAGCAGCAGGAAGACATGGTGTGAAGTCCAGTCAGGTTAGAGCCTCCTGCATCCAATAAAACAGGCCGACTTCAGATTTCAGACTTCAGACAAAGTAGGACAACATGGTGGTGTTAGCAGGTTGAACTGAATCATGATGACCTGTCAGCCGATAGACAGGTGATGTTTGACATGATTAAATTATGTAAGCTTATTATTTCCTGCAGAGTTTGTTATATTAGTTAGTTATGTCAGGAATGTGAGGAATAAAGTTGTTATTGAAACTGTTATTTTGAAATTATCCCTAAGAAATAACTTATTGACTCATGAGGAGCTTCTGTGTGCATTTCAGCTTTTCTGCTTATTTTCCATAATATTATTTAATTTACCAGACAAATAAAATCTTGCCTTGGCTTATTGCTCACACTGTCAGTTCTTGTCACTGTGAGGATGAAATGTGACAGATTATTATGATTTGGGATGTTGCTGATATAAAGATGCACAGACAGTTTAATGAAGAGGAATTCAGGAACATTCATTTCAGCTGTAAATGTCAATTTGGTCCACTTAAATTGTTTGGGGTCATTCATAGAAGCAGAGCAGGTCGAGGTTCACTTAATTTGAAGCTTTTTAGAGCAAAAGCCCTTCATTAAGAGCTTCAATGAGCCTTCATTCAGCAAGTTCGTTACAGAAGTTAAAATGATGGTAAGAACAACAAACCAATAGTTTCAATAATAATCTGTCTATCACAACATCCAGCTCTTCTTAATGTGTAACAGACTGCTGGACAGGACAGGTTAAAGAAAAACCACAAATCAACATGTTAAGAATATTTTTTATTTCTTTTTTGCATGAAAGAATATACCGTTAAGAATAACAGTGTAAAAGTAAAACCACTAACACCCACCTGATTATCCATATCATCAGTGAGTGTATGTGTATTAACTAATGTAATACAGCTGTGAAGTAACAATATTGGTGTACTGTCAGTAAGTATCAGGAAAATATGGAATTGAGAGTATTTGTCATGCTCAAGTTTATCTTCATGGTAAAGTGAGTTTTTGAAGCCATTTTCATCAGTCAATTAGTTAAAAGTTGCATCTTACAGTTTCAGGGCTGTGTGTCTTTATAGAGGCACAATGAGCATCAACTTTCTAACTTTGGTGACTCTCAGTGATAAGCAGCAAAGAAAATACACTGTGGTGTTAGAGAGAAATGCACACCGGTAGATCTGACCTGGGGATAATGGGGTGGACAGGCTGAAAGCAACACACAGTCTAGAGCTGCAATGATTAATTGCCAACTATTAAATTTATCGCCAACTATTTTGATAATCCATTCATTGGTTTGAGTAATGTTTCAGTATCTGTGATGTTTCACTGCCCTCTAGTGGTGAACCTTTGTTGTGGCACATTCAGGCTGAATCACTCTGAGAGCTCCCTCCACTGCCTGTTTCAAAGAGTCACTTCACCCAAATTACAAGAAGACATATTTTCTGTCTTACCTCCAGCAGCATCTTGTCAGATGTGCTCTGTGTTACAGTGACACAGAGTCACAATGACTGTGAGTGAGAGAGCTGCAAAATGTAATTCATTGTTTCTGATCTACTTTTCTTACATGTTTCTCAATACTGAATAAACACTGAGCTCAGCACGTGACTTTTTACACCCCATACTGCTGCAGTCCATCTCTTTGAACTCATACTGGTATAAAGGTTATTTCACTGTCTAAAGATGCACTAGACGTGTCAAGTAATGCATGAAACCAACTTTCACGCCTGTCTGTTCTGTTTTCTCATTTCTTGTGTCAGTAGGAAGCAGCAAACAGGTTTAATACCAACAGGCCATAACAATATTTTCTTATTCTCTCTTATTAAGTTCTTAGTTTGCAAATCGTTACTTCTTTTTGATGTTGGTGTTAACTGGCATTTGGCTCATCATGAATATTAATAATCTAAAGAGGAAGGAAATCTAGTAGTTTAACAGCCTGATATCCGTGTTCTGCTTGCTGACACAGAGGAAGGCTTCTTTAAAGACAGCGTCCTTCTTCATTGTAAGTAGAATTGTTTATTGATGTGAGTGATACTGTATATCTCCTGTGTACATTATTTTATCTGCTGACATGTTTTATTGTCTCTGAAGCCACACAGAGAGATGAGAGGAGCAGCTATGAGTTTAACTGCAGCAACAAGTGGATTTGTCGTCTTCCTTCTCTCTGTGTCAGGTACTGAATATCTAAACTTACATTTATTACATTAAAACAGGGGAATCTGGGAAATGTAGGTCTTGTAAAAGTAGGCTGAAGGTCAGATGTGAAAATAAGTGGATCAGAATGAGGTATCAGGATCAGTTGTTCACACTGTATGATGAAAACAGCCAGTTTAGGGGGTATTTCCTAATTTCATTGTCCTGCTTGCGCTAATGCAAATGTATATTGAACAGTGTGAGTTCATTTTTCCAGAGCTGATGCTGCCTAAACGATGTTAGCACTATGCTGTGTTATTGTCGCATTGAATGAAGACGTGCAATGCAATTTAGCGTACCAAAGCGTCGGCTTGTTCCATTATCCAACTTGTACAATGGAAATTAGACAAGAAAGTGTAAACCGGAAACAGAGACTTCAAATAGTTCCTATTTGAAGCTACTTTTATCACGGTGAAGGTTTTAGAGAGATAGGCCTACTGGTCTCACACAGTGAAGTCATACTGACACAACTTCTCTCATATCTTCATCTGCAACTCCTGCTAGTTCCTTTTGTACTGTCTGACCTCAGTGTGATGTTTCTGTGCTCTGTGTTGACAGCAGCAAGGTCCAAAAATAACTTGCCACTGTGACAAGCAGGTATTTTTGTCTAACACAGAAATTGTATCTGTCAATTTAGAAATGCACCAAGATAACCTAAATGAACATTCTGCTCATTTAGGCATACTGTAATGTAAATAATGTTATCATTCAAATTTTAAACACAAAAAACATTGTGCATGTCTTTTAGTACATGACATTAATTTCACTTAACCTAAAAAATCACTAACAGCCTGATATTTCAAAGGTACGTTACAGATGACAGGAAACCTAACAGTCAGTTAAACCACCAATGAATGGGTCCTTATCTCAATAAAAACGTCTTCTTCTGGATCCCAACAAGCAAACAAAAAATACTCCTTTCAATACAAAAGTTGGCCAACGAAAATAAAACCAAGTGATGTCTCTTGTCTCTGATTGACAAGCTTATGATTCTCCATCAACACCGGAGTTCCCTCCTGTTGTCTGACCGGTGCTGCTGGTAAGCTCACCGGCTGTCACTCAGGAGGGACTGGGCCTCTTCCACTGCTGAGTTTGGTTCAAACACCGCCACAGATATTACCTGAGCTGACTGCTCTGTGTGTCTTGTGTGTGAGGCAGGGGTGTGTACCGATCACCATAATAGGCTACACTAAACTTACTACACGTGTCTTTCTGTTGAACGTTTTCTCTGTCTGCCAAAATGGCGGATGGTCTGACGATCTGCCAACAATTTACCCTCATTCAGCGGGTGCTAAAGTCAGAGATCTTGATAGCAGTTTTCTGCTATCTTATGTTTAGCTGCTAGAAACTCTCCCACACCTCAGTGCGCTGCATTTATTTTTAGCTTTCACACTTAACTCTGCAGCAACCTGACCGCAGAGTGAACAGAGAGAACTGACCAAGAAAAGCACAGACTCTCTAATAATTTATATTTCTCCTCTTATCCCGGTCAGTAAACTGCATTAAAGGTCACAGGTCTGATACTTTCCTGTTCACTTCACTGCACCTTCAGACTGGATGATGTCCTGCCTCAGTGCACATAGAGATGAACTGTAGAAAGCATGTGTACATCTTCCTTTGCACTGACTGTGTATAACTGAGCAAGACGTTGTGTTTAGACTTCTCTCTGTTCACCCTGGTTTTATTCAGAAATAACATCAAAAGTCATAAAGCATTAAGTAATTAGAACAGGAGTTAGGAAGTGACTTGGAAGAAGAATGATACAGAACATCTGTGAGTATTTTATGTACCATTGTTCTGATGCTCTATCCCAGAAAAGAGAGTAAAATGTAATTTTATTAATTTTCTGTTTGGATTACTTGTGTGTTGACACATAAGCTTTTCAGGCATTTCTGTTTAGATTTTTTTGAATGAATGGACCCAAGCAGAAACCCAACTTTTCACAACATTAAAATATGACAAACACCTTATAAACTTTCTGTGACAATGACTGCAGATAATTCGGGATTTTGAAGCTTGTCCAGGTTACGTTTCCCTCAAACCATATTGGTAGTTTGGTCCACTTTGTCTGATTGTTAAATTAAGTTGTTAATGTTGATTGTGTCTGATGTGCTCTGTGTTACAGTGGTACAGAGTCAGTATGACTGGGGAGTGACGTACACTTATACTGAGATCTGTGCCTTCAAAGGATCAACAGTGGAAATAAACTGCACCTTTAGATATCCATTCCTTATTAATGACGATTATACTACAGTTGAAGAAAAATTCTGGTTTAAAGGTGATGAAACTGTGGATCTGAAAACAAAGTCAGAGTATTCAGGTCGTGTGGAGTATAACTGTGATATGAACTACTGCACTCTGAGAATCACAGACCTGAGAGAGAGCGACTCAGCTGAGTACAAGTTCAGGTTCATAACAAACCAACCAGGTGGGACATATACTGGTTCACCTGGAGTCACTCTGTCTGTCACAGGTAACATTTTTATCTGAATATTTATTTATTTAGTTCCAAATGTTCAACATCTTATGAAGGTTACTGTGTTTCTATGTTGACAGTTCAGTCTAAAGTGAAGATTTCTGTTCCTTATTCACAGATTCAGATCTCCAGGTGCAGGTGAGCAGATTACAGGTCTATGAGTCTTCTAACTGGGCAGAGCTGAAGTGTCACAGCAGTTGTCTTCCACCTGGTCATCCTTCCTACATCTGGTACAAGAATGGACAGAATATTTGGACAGATGGACAGACATCTAATTCTTACTTTGATCCTGCAGACAGCTTTTCCTGTGCTGTAGGAGGATATGAGAAGTCCCGCTCTCCTTCAGTGTGTGAGTTTACATCCAGTCTTCCACTGACATGACACCATCTGGTGGAGCCTTTAACCTATTGTACTGCACATTAACTGCATGTAACTCAGTGGTATTTGGTGATTCATTGTAGGACTGGATGAAAACCAAATCATTTCCCCATGAGATTGTAGACATGTTGCATAATTAATTTTTATTCCCTGTCTTCACTGTAATATAAAACTCAGAATGTACTGATGTCTTGATTGATTGATTGATGTTTACCCACTAGAGGTCATCAGTAGACATGGTGGTGTCCAAAGACACTGAACCTGGATCATTTGCTTGGTCTCCTGTCTTCAGCACTGCCGGACTCTTTATGTCTGTGATGTTTATGTGCTTTAGGTTTAGAACATCCTTCTATTTTGGTATATTTAACATGTACCTTAGGTGAACCCCCTTATACACACACACTACAGTAGCTGCAGCCTAACAAATGAATGAAAGAGAATGATGAAGGAAACTTCTTAAAGGACATAAAGATTACCGCTCTCCTTCAGTGTGTGAGTTTACATCCAGTCTTCCACTGACATGACACCATCTGGTGGAGACTTTAACCTATTGTACTGCACATTAACTGCATGTAACTCAGTGGTATTTGGTGATTCATTGTAGAACTGGATGAAAACCAAATCATTTACCCATGAGATTGTAGACATGTTGCATAATTAGTTTTTATTCACTGTCTTTACTGCAAAATTAAACTGTAAAATAACTCACAATGAAAATGTATTAAAACAAGATTTGTTATCTTGTCATTAGACATTTTAAATTCTCTGGATCAGATAAAACTTGTGCATCGTCAGAGAAATTCCCTGATTATCTGTTCTTGTATCTTCAATGTATCAAAGTGTTCAACTTGTTTCCATGGTAACAGAAACCCATGCTGTTTCTGATACACGAGGAAATCAAGCTGCACCACCGAAATGAAATAATGCTCCACTGTGAAAACTCAACCTCATCTTGAAATGTAAAATGTGTTCATGTTTTCTCCTCCAGATGCTCCAAAGCTTCCCTCTGTGTCAGTGAGTCCCTCTGCTGAGATAGTGGAGGGCAGTTCAGTGACTCTGACCTGCAGCAGTGATGCTAACCCAGCAGCTAAATACACCTGGTACAAGGAGAACCAAACACTGCTCAGTAAAGAACCACAGCTTGTCTTCAGGTCCATCCAGTCCTCTGACTCTGGAGAGTATTACTGTGAAGCTGTGAATGATCTGGAGAGGAAGACTTCTGGATTTGTCTCTATTAACGTGAAATGTAAGTAAAATGCAGCTAATTTAAAAAACATTATACAATTAATGACAACTTCTTAAAGCTTAATTATCCAGTCAGATGTTTTGCTGATCATGCACTTTCTTCAGTTCCGCCTGTTTCACATTCACAGCAGCTACAACAGATGATTAAAGGCGGTTTTATTTCAAAGTGAACGCTGAGTCAATGTTGAGTTCAGCTCCATGAATAGAGGGGTAGTACTTTTCTCATTGATACCTTGAATAATTTCCAAAGTATTCAAGATTTTCCAGTAACACTTTGTAAGTGAATGGAGAGAAGGATTAAATCCTCTTCATCCCTACTCAACTCTGTAAGGGTACTAGTTCAGCACACTTTCAGCTACAGACTTGATTTAAACTTTAAATTGGTCACAAGATGGCAGGTCCGGATTGGGACCAAAATTCGGCCCTGGCAATGTGGTTTTCACCAGCCCAACAAAGTGATGACGTAAAAAAAAACGTCCCCTGAATCTGGACATTTTCCCCACTGAGACATCATACAAGGCAGCAATGACTCTCACACTGTAGGCGTACACGGCAAGGCGCATAGACTGCAGTCTATACACACACATTCACACGCACACACGAGCATGACACAGCGGTCAGACGCACACAACACAACTGATTAAGAAAGATAAAGCACCATGACCATCAGTTATGAAAAAAACACAATAAAATACATGATAAAAAGAAGCATGTCCTACCTTATTAAATCAGCAGCCGTTGCATCAGCGCGCTCTTCTCTGCCACCTTTTTAATGATGCAATCCGTGTCCAAAGAAACCAGAGTCTGCTTTGCGATTGCCATCAACATAAAGTTTTCAAGGTGCTCCTGTGAATTTTAACGTGGAAAAGCTTCGCTCACATACAACTTGTGTCACAGACAGAGTTAACAGAAGCTTGTATCACAGTCCGATTAGATGGTAGGAGTCAGTGAGCAGGTTATGCCTTTGTAGGACATAATAACAACAGAAGGGACACTTTCTGCAAGATTGGCATGTTGTGTTCACAACATCTCATTCTTCATCTGGGGTCTGCTCATCATCTCCATCCTCAGTACTCATCTCTCATCACTTCAGCTTGTCCCAGTGCGTGGCCAGGCTAAGTAGTTCAGCCTGTAAGGCCTCGGGAGTTGCTCTGCTATCGAGCCTGATCAGTTTGGCGCTCAGGGCACTGACTGCACCTGCAGGTACACTGTTACTTTTCAAGCCATTGAAGTTCTGGGGATCAAGCAGGGCGGAATCTGTGTACAGTCCTCTGTTTTTAGCAAAACGTTGGGAAATACTTTCAATGATGGAATCCAGAATGACATTGTGCACTTGTACCTCATACTTGCTGTCAGCATCTGATATGGCTGTATCATCACATAACTCGCCTGGCATCCTTTTTGTCTTCTTTGGTCTCCGGTTTGGCAGCGTGTGTTCCACCTCTGTGTCTGTCTCACACACATTTAATTCTCTATTGGCCCATTGCACAAATGCATCTGTTGCTGCCTTTACCCTCTTAAAATCCCTTGCATATTTTTTCATATTGTCATGTTTGCTTGTGACAAAGCGATGGGCCGTGAGCAAATCCTTTCCACTTGTTTTTAAATAAAGTGGAGTTGTTTGTTGGAAGATGTGTAAAAACGTCTGGACAGTGAGGATGGTTTGGTATTTCAGCAGAGCCTCTGCATAAGCATCGGAATTTGCACGCACCGTCGGCTTCTTGTTATCTTTCTCGCTCAGGGTCTTGAGTGTAACAGCAAGATTAATGTAAAGACATCCCTCTGGATCCTGAACACTGGTGTTTGTCTGTTATGTCTTGTGTTGTATCAATTTGAATGAAATACATGCCGGCCTCTTTAACCTCTGCAGCAACGTTTTCTTTAATGAGACATTCAGTAGCTTCTATGACCGTGTTTACAGTTGTGTTGGATAGGAGAGTGACCAGTGATCCCCTGCCCGTTGCTCCGGAGTAGTGCAGCCTCTTACTATTTTCAATACATGAACTGACATGCGTTTGGAGGCATTTTTCCTATTTGCTCAACAAGAGAACACGTTCTAAAAACATGTCATGTTCGGCAGCATCATTTTCCAAGGTGCATGCAGCCTCTGATTTGTCCCCTCGGTCACTGAGCCTTCATTTTCCTATGACTTTCACTATTTCAAGTGTAGTGATAGTACTCTTTGTTAATGAATTAATGAATAATAATATTTTGAAATATTATATCAGGATTTTTTAAAAGCTATTTATTATAGTGAACCTACACTTTCTTAATGAATTATTGAATAATAATATTTTGGAATATTATATCATAAGCACTCGTTTGGGGCACCACCTGAATCGCCGTCCGCCCAAGGCCTTCAGGACTCCTTGGGTACAGCTAATAATTGCCAACAATTATTACTGGTGATCAGTTAGTTATTAATTGTTCAATTATTTTAAATCAGTTAGTTTAATCAATCAGTCAGTCTCAAATCAAAGAGTGAATCCTCCGTCCAGTGACCCGGGTGCAATGGATAAGATGCCTGCCTTTGGTGTGAGAGGCCCGGGTTCAATCTGCCACTGTGACCCATCCACCAATGTGGACCCGGAGCAAGACACTTAATCCCCAGTTGCTCCAGAGGCGTGCAACCTCTGACATATACACTCACCTAAAGGATTATTAGGAACACCATACTAATACTGTGTTTGACCCCCTTTCGCCTTCAGAACTGCCTTAATTCTACGTGGCATTGATTCAACAAGGTGCTGAAAGCATTCTTTAGAAATGTTGGCCCATATTGATAGGATAGCATCTTGCAGTTGATGGAGATTTGTGGGATGCACATCCAGGGCACGAAGCTCCCGTTCCACCACATCCCAAAGATGCTCTATTGGGTTGAGATCTGGTGACTGTGGGGGCCATTTTAGTACAGTGAACTCATTGTCATGTTCAAGAAACCAATTTGAAATGATTGGAGCTTTGTGACATGGTGCATTATCCTGCTGGAAGTAGCCATCAGAGGATGGGTACATGGTGGCCATAAAGGGATGGACATGGTCAGAAACAATGCTCAGGTAGGTCGTGGCATTTAAACGATGCCCAATTGGCACTAAGGGGCCTAAAGTGTGCCAAGAAAACATCCCCCACACCATTACACCACCACCACCAGCCTGCACAGTGGTAACAAGGCATGATGGATCCACGTTCTCATTCTGTTTACGCCAAATTCTGACTCTACCATCTGAATGTCTCAACAGAAATCGAGATTCATCAGACCAGGCAACATTTTTCCAGTCTTCAACTGTCCAATTTTGGTGAGCTCTTGCAAATTGTAGCCTCTTTTTCTATTTGTAGTGGAGATGAGTGGTACCGGTGGGTACTTCTGCTGTTGTAGCCCATCCGCCTCAAGGTTGTGCGTGTTGTGGCTTCACAAATGCTTTGCTGCATACCTCAGTTGTAACGAGTGGTTATTTCAGTCAAAGTTGCTCTTCTATCAGCTTGAATCAGTCGGCCCATTCTCCTCTGACCTCTAGCATCAACAAGGCATTTTCGCCCACAGGACTGCCGCATACTGGATGTTTTTCCCTTTTCACACCATTCTTTGTAAACTCTAGAAATGGTTGTGCGTGAAAATCCCAGTAACTGAGCAGATTGTGAAATACTCAGACCGGCCCGTCTGGCACCAACAACCATGCCACGCTCAAAATTTTTCCACACCACACCCCTAAATGCATTGAAGCAACTGCCATGTGATTGGTAGATAATTGCATTAATGAGAAATTGAACAGGTGTTCCTAATAATCCTTTAGGTGAGTGTATATATATGTGTGTGTGTGTGTGTATATATATATATGCCATAATATTGAGTTGCATTGACATGTTGATCAGGTAGCTCAGTTGGAAAGGAGCAGGACTCCGAGTGTTTCTCAGATCACGGCATGTGCTGCACCGTTTCTGTTTTGGTGTTTGATCCGCATCCATCAACCCACAGAAGCTTTTGCAATTCCCCAGTATCTCCAGTCAGAGGACACTGAGGGGAATCACGTTTCCTGACGGCTTTAGAGGAGAGTCAAGCAGCTACGGACTCTTTTAATATCCAGAATCTTTCAAAGTAAAAGCCCCAAAACTGAATTGCAGTAAACAAGGTTCTCATGCTTTTATTTTGTAGGCAAAACCACTAAAGAGGAAGTGATTATTTGAGTAACTGTTGCTGTCATGAAGAGATCCATTTCAGCAGCTATCAAAGCTTTATTTATTTATTTATTTTTGCCACTATAAAAACACCAGAATCTGGCAGCGGACCAGATATTGATGGCGGGAAGCTTGTCAATGTTTCTATAAACTTCCTCTAATGTGTGTGTTATATTATTTGTAAAGTAACAGCCAGCTTCCACAACAAGTGACGGTCCAGTGTGACAACTCTGTAGTTGGAAACATTGGTGTGATAAGTTCTGCATTTCAGCTTTTCTGTTTATTTTTTAGAATATTATTTTATTTCCCAGCTATCAAGACAAAATAAAATCAATTGTGTTCTTTTGCTTTGGCTTTCTGACATTCTTGGTTCTTGTCACTATGAGGATGAAATGATGATAAAATCTTTGATTAGTTTCTGTGATGTTTCTCTGCCCTCTAGTGGGAAAGTTTAAGTATGGCACGTTAAAGCTTCCTCACTCTGAGAGCTCCCTCCACTGCCTGTTTCAAAGAGTCACTTCACCCAAATTACAAGAAGACATATTTTCTGTCTTACCTCCAGCAGCATCTTGTCAGATGTGCTCTGTGTTACAGTGACACAGAGTCAGAATGACTGTGAGTCAGAGAGCTGCAAAATTAATTGCGAAAAGTTTTTATTTACATTCTGATTTCTGTTTAATTTTCTGATCTACTTTTCTTACATGTTTCTCAATACTGAATAAACACTGAGCTCAGCACGTGACTTTTTATATCCCATACTGCTGCAGTCCATCTCTTTGAACTCATACTGGTATAAAGGTTATTTCACTGTCTAAAGATGCACTGGACGTGTCAAGTGATGCATGAAACCAACTTTCACGCCTGTCTGTTCTGTTTTCTCTTTTTGAATGGTCTTTTCTTGTGTCAGTGGGAACAGACCATAACACTATTTTCTTCTCACTTATTAAGTTTGTAGTTTGCAAATTGTCACTACTTTGTGATGTTGGTGTTAACTGGCATCCTGCTCATGATGTTTAGGCCATAAATAATCTAAAGAGGAAGGAAATCTTGTCATTTAATATTTAGATATCCGTCTTTTGCTCACTGACCACAGAGGAAAGGTCTTTAAAGACAGCGCCCTTCTTCACTGTAAGTAGAATTGTTTATTGATGTGAGTGATACTGTATCTCTCCTGTGTACATTATTTTATCTCCTGACACGTTTTACTGTCTCTGAAGCCACACAGAGAGATGAGAGGAGCAGCTATGAGTTTAACTGCAGCAGCAGGTGGATTTGTCGTCTTCCTTCTCTCAGGTACTGTATATCTAAACTTACATTTATTGCCATAATTGGATCAGAGTTGTCTCAAAGGCAAACTTCCCAGAAATGGTAAAATTGTTTTGCGTGTAATGTGGAAACTCCCTGAATGTTAATTTGTTATTTATGTTTTTTTTGTTTTTGTGTCAGTTGTAATGAATATAAGGAAGATAAAATTTTGAATTTACTCTTTTTACTCTTTTAGTCTTTTACACAAGATAATTGTGTGCTAATCACTTTTACATGCGGTAAACTGAGAATATTCGGGGTTTTATTCGTGACTTTTAATCCTTGCTGAAACTTGTTGCCTTAATGTGTTCGACAGTTGACTCTGGTTGCAGAAGATGGTGGACGATTAGTTCCTTCTGCAGCTACTTTTATCACGGTGAAGGTTTTTAGAGGGATAGCCTACTGTCTCACATAGTGAAGTCATTCTGACACTACTTCTGTCATATCTTCATCTGAACGAAACCCTGCTAGTTCCTACTGTCTGATCTCAGTGTGATGTTTCCATGCTCTGTGTCCAAAATTAACTTTCTTCACTGCCTGACTGTGACAAGCAAGTTTATTTAGTCTGCACCAAGACAGACTAAATGAAGGAATAAGACATATTTTAATGTAAATAATGTCATACAAATTTTAAACACTCTAAACATCAAACATACATGTTATTCAGTACATGACATAATTTCACCTCATCTAACAATCAGCCAGATATTTCAAAGATAACTTACTGATACCAGGTGACAAGAAACACAACCCACAGTTAAGCCACAATGAATGAGTCTTTATCTCAGTTCAAATTTCCGCAAAAGTTCATATCTCAACAAAAACCACTTCTGGATCCCAGCAAGTCCTTTCAATACAAAAGTTGGCCAACAAAAATAAAACCAAGTGATGCCTCTTGCATCTAATAGACAAACTATTTATTCTCCATCAACACCGGATATTACCTGAGCTGACTGCTCTGTGTGTGTCTTGTGTGTGAGGCAGGGGTGTGTACCAATCACCATAATACACTAAACCAACTACACGTGTCGTTCTGTTGAACCTTTTCCCTGTCCGTCAAAATGTAGCCTGACGATCTGCCAACAATTGACCCTCATTCAGCGGGTGCTAAAGTCAGAGATCTTGATAGCAGTTTTCTGCGTCTTATGTTTAGCTGCTAGAAACTCTCCGACACCTCAGTACGCTGCATTTATTTTTAGCTTTCACACTTAACTCAGCAGCAACCTGACCGCAGAGTGAACAGAGAGAACTGACCAAGAAAAAGCACAGACTCTCTAATAATTTTATATTTCTCCTCTTATCCCGGTCAGTAAACTGCATTTAAGGGATAGGTGTCATTTACATTGGGGACAATGGGGACATGTCCCACCACGTTTTGAGAGGATAATTTGTTATATAGTTTCTGAAAAATAGCTTGCACCAAGAAATGTGCACCAAAATGCTGTGAGTAAGCTTTATTTGCACAATAAGAAACCACTTTTCAACACAAAGTGACGCCCTTGATTTAAGGTCACCGGTCTGCTACATCTTCCTTTGCACTGACTGTGTATAACTGAGCAAGTTTTTGTGTTTGGACTTCTCTGTGCCTGTGTTCACCCTGGTTTCATTCAGAAATAACATAAAAAGGTCATAAAGCTTTAGTTAGAAATGACCTTGTGAGAAGAAGGATGCAGAACATCTGTGAGTCTTTGATGTTGCCTACTGCTGTTCTACTCTGTTCTAGTAAAGTGATGTCATTTTATTCATTTTCTGTTTGGATTACTTGTGTGTTGAAATACGCTGCACTTTTAGGTATTTTGCTTAATTGTTTTTGAATGAATGGACAAAAGCAGAAACACCCAGAAGTAACATTAAAATATGACAAACACAATTCTCTATTCCAGTTCAGGAATTTTTTATGACAATGACTGAAGATTATCAGTCAGATAATTGAGGATTTTGTCCATGTTACGTTTCACCTAAATCATATTGGTAGTATGATCCACTTTGTCTTAGTAACTGATTGTTAAATTCAGTTATTAATGTTTGTTGTTTCTGATGTGCTCTGTGTTCCAGTGGTACAGAGTCAGTATGACTGGGGAGTGACGTACACTTCTACTGAGATCTGTGCCTTCAAAGGATCAACTGTGGACATATACTGCGCCATTAAATACCCGTCCACAATCAGTTACCGTTATATTACTACTGGGGAAACATTCTGGTTTAAAGGTGATGATACTGTGGATCTGAAAACAAAGTCAGAGTATTCAAGTCGTGTGGAGTATAACTGTGATATGAACTACTGCACTCTGAGAGTCACAGACCTGAGAGAGAGCGACTCAGCTGAGTACAAGTTCAGGTTCATAACAAACCAACCAGGTGGGACATATACTGGTTCACCTGGAGTCACTCTGTCTGTCACAGGTAACATTTTCATTTAAATATTTATTTATTTAGTTCCAAATGTCCAACATCTTATGAAGGTTACTCAAATTTGTGTGTGTGTGTTGACAGTTCAATCTAAAATTAAGATTTTTGTCCCTTATTCACAGATTCAGATCTCCAGGTGCAGGTGAGCAGATTACAGGTCTATGAGTCTTATAACTGGGCAGAGCTGAAGTGTCACAGCAGTTGTCTTCCACCTGGTCATCCTTCCTACATCTGGTACAAGAATGGACAGAACATTTCAGAAGGAACATCTTATTCAGCCTACTTTGATCCTGCAGACAGTTTTTCCTGTGCTGTAGGAGGATATGAGAAGTCCCGCTCTCCTTCAGTGTGTGAGTTTACATCCAGTCTTCCACTGACATGACACCATCTGGTGGAGCCTTTAACCTATTGTACTGCACATTAACTGCATGTAACTCAGTGGTATTTGGTGATTCATTGTAGAACTGGATGAAAACCAAATCATTTCCCCATGAGATTGTAGACATGTTGCATAATTAACTCTTATTTTCTGTCTTCACTGTAAAATAACTCACAATGAAAACGGATTAAAACAGGATTTGTTATCTTGTCTTTAGACTGTTTAAATTCTTTGGATCAGATCAAACTTGTGCATCATCAGAGAAATTCCCTGATAATCTGTTCTTGAATCATTAATGGACACTTTTTAAAATGTGTTCTTCAGCAAAACACTTCATGGGTCCAGGTTTTAACTTATTCTGATCCATCCACACAAACACATGAGTGAAAAGAAGGAAGTCAGATATTTGCCAAGTTATGAAGAATTACAAGCGATTAGTGTTACAAGATCTGTCCAATCAAGTTTCCTTGTGGACGTGATGTCAGAAAATGACGTGGGAAAATCGTGTCTGACACACTGTTATCCATGGAAACAGGAACCCATGTAGTTTCTGATACAGGAGGAAATCAAGCTGCACCTCCACTTTATGTTCATATGAAATATTGTCCATTTAAAATGCTCCACTGTGAAAACTCAGCCTCATCTTGAAATGAAATGTTACATGTGTTCATGTTTTCTCCTCCAGATGCTCCAAAGCTTCCCTCTGTGTCAGTGAGTCCCTCTGCTGAGATAGTGGAGGGCAGTTCAGTGACTCTGACCTGCAGCAGTGATGCTAACCCAGCAGCTAATTATACCTGGTATAAATATCATGGAAATCCAAACCTTCATCTTCCCAGTAAAGAACCACAGCTTATCTTGAGCTCCATCTTGCCCTCTGACTCTAGAGGGTATTACTGTGCAGTAGAGAATGATCTGGGGAGAAGGACATCTGGATTAGTCCCTATTAATGTGAAATGTGAGTAAAACACAGCTAATTTAAAAAACATCAAGCAGCCAATGACAACTTTTTAAAGCTTAATTATCCAGTCAAATGTTTTGCTGATCATGCACTTTCTTCAGCTCTGCCTGTTTCACATTCACAGTCTGCTGCTGTAGTTCACTGAGCAGCTACAGTAGATGATGAAAAGGCAGATTTATTTACAATTGGTCTCCCAGATCTGCACAGATGTTCAGGGGATTCAAACCTTCAGTAATCCAGAAAACCACCTCTAAAGTTTCAGATGCTCCCACACAAATACAACATTCAGCATCCAACATCTGGCGTGGCCACAGGCTTCTGTCCTGTTATCGACTCTATATCCCCAAAATTACTTGTGCATCTCAGAAAATTTCAGTATTGTGAAAAGGTTTATTTTTTCCCCATAACTGAAGTCATAAAGTGAATGTAGTCTAGATTCACTACAAATAAAGTGAAATTCAGGCCTTTATTTGTTTTACTCTTGATGATTATGGCTTACAGCTCATGGAAATCAAAAAAAAAAAAGATTAGATTGTTGAAAAAAATTAGAATAGTAGTTCTGTTATATTGTAGCTCATTTCTTGGACATGTCTGTGCCTGGTGGCTCTTGATGCACTGACTGCAGCCTCAGTCCACTCCTTGTGAAACTCCCCCAAGTTCTTGAATCGGCTTTGCTTGACAATCTTCTGAAGGCTGCTAATCATGAAAATTAAAACATAAAAGGCTTTTAGTTTTTCACTTTATGTCTAAAAAATCTTTTATTTACACAATATTCTAATTTTCTGAGATGTACCTGTATGTTCATATACTATACTGGATTTTGTTAAGAGGCAAACGTGTTTGGATTGTAGGAAGGGCTAAGGTTTTGAACCCCATGTAATTAAATAACAGTCCAACCATCATCAGTCATCTGCAGTAAAGTAGAAACACTTGTATGTTTCTTTTAAATAGCAATTATGACAAATACATGTCAAAACATAAATGACATATAAAGTGTATCTTATCTGGTACTAACCAGTAATATATCACTAAGTATATACCTGTATATCCAACTCTGCTTTTCGATAGTCAATCAGGGCCATTACTGCAGTATTTACACACATTGCAACATTCTTGTGTGATATAACTTACCTCTGTTTACTCATAAACTTGTATGAGGGACATTCCTCTGGTCTCCTCTGTAGCAGATCTCGGCTACGTAAAATTTTAATACAGTTATGAAAATTAATATTTCCGGGAATATTAATTTTATACCTCGAAATTAGGAGCACCACCTAAAGATTTGCTTGTCCGCCCAAGGCTTTAGGTCCTTGAGTATAGCCTGAGAATTATACCGAGTTCGGTTAATTCATTAGTTGTTATTCTGAAATCGTAAGGTCAATCAGTCAGTCTCAGATCTGAGCGTAAGTTCTGTGTATAGGGACTCTAGATTCTGAATAACACACACACATACATCGCTGTGCTCAAAGTGAATTTATTAACTAACAAAAGAGAGTACAATAGTGGGTAAATGTGGTGATATTACAGGGATAACAGTTAATATGACAACAAGGAGGTACTAAAAAGGGTAGCCTATGTAAGGTTCGATTGAGTTTTAGTTTATTGTAGAGGGAGAGAATTCTACGAGTATGAGGGAACGAATAACCGAAATTGGGTTGCAGATTTAGTTTGTCTAATCTAAGGGTTATTAACTGTGGATGGAGCCCATAGATCACCAACGAGTCACAGAGTGTTGTTTGTTTTGGCCTACCGTTGCCGCAGGTCCCGTGGCGAGGCTCGACTGCCGGTTGGCTCGGGAAGTCGGTTCTGGCCCGACCCCAGTGGCGTTTTCGAGTTGGGTTGAAACCGGTGGATTGGGTCCGGAGTCCTCTGTGGGAAGCGCTTGCAGCAACGGGCTGTCAGCCAAGGCTTTTGCTCTGATCTCAGTTCGTTTGGTGTCGCTATAGGGCCCACTCAGGGTTTTGGTCGTCAGAGCCGTAGTTTCATTTATTCAAGGCCATAAATGAAGGCTTCTGAGTTTCTGGTCCAAAGTTGCTCACAACGGTCGGATGAGGTTGCAACAACAAAATCAAATAAACTCACACATTCACCGTAGGTTCGCGACGCCTCGGGAATATCGGCTATTTAATGTTGCTGAGGTTAAACAGGCAGCTCCAAACAAAATAAAGAAAATCAAATCTCCCGCTGAGAAATTTGGAATTCAGGGTCGTAGCCTTCTCAGCTCGTCTGAAGGAAATTTAAGTACGAAACAAAAATCGGAATTTCAAAAGTAAAGGAAGTTAAGAGAACGTATACGTTTAGTTTCAAGAAAGTTTAAACGAAGAGTTTTGAAGAGGTAAGAAACTAGAACAAAAGACAGCAAGGCCTTTTTATTGATTCCGCTAGGTAGTGACGTCAATTTTGGGGATGGTCTCACAAACGTCGCTAAGGTGTTAACTTTTGGGATAAAGAAATATACGTTGCGCGTATTTCTCTTTGATCTCTCTCTCCACAATATCGACATTTGGAAAAATACTTAGTTCTAAACATTCGGATAAAGACAGTTAAAACAAGGCTAAACACTATGGAAAAAGTTTATAATGGTTATATAAAACGTAACAAAGCTTGATTACATGTCCTCAGTATACTTGTTGGTTACTGGTTTTAACTCATGAGACACTTTAGATGTAAGCATGACAGTAAAATTTCGTTTATGCAATTACGTGGTGATAGTTAGGCCTACTTAACAATTCTGTCAGTGTAAGCCGAGTTTTAAACACTTGCGTGTTATACCTTTCTTGTCCCCTTGGTGGCGCTCGGGTCACACAAGAAAGAGTAGACATTCCACTTTAACTGAGAGGCTGGTGATGCCTACGAGCGTTTCCATGGATAATTTAGTAAGAAATTGTATATGAAACATTTAACTAAAGCATTAGTTAGCATTGAATAGACAGTGATTACTAGGGAGTAACAGGAATGACTTAAGACAACACAGAATGAGGTTAGAAAACTAGTTCAAGATTACTTTCTTATGGGTCTGCTAGTCTTCAAACATCACTAAAGGATAACAACAGGGTTATTACTTACTAAACTCAGAGGCTAACACTGCTGCTCACTTAGCAAGGTTATTATTTAAACAGAATAAACACAGTTATACTGGAACCTTGCTTGGTTCGAGTAACAGGGTTTTTTATGGTCTTTCTTCTCTGCATTCCTGGCTTATCGCACAGGATGTCAGAGAATGAAGTGGTGGTTTATGGCTCAGCCGTTCTGTGGAGAGAAAAGAGTCAGGTTGAGGCTGGAGGTGACCTGCTGGAGGGAGAAGGGGTCAGATCAGCCCCTTTTCCTGTCCTGTGGACTGTCTTTAGTGACACCTTTACGGCTAGAAAGGTTCACTAAGGCTCTCTGAATACACAATCCTTAAGCGATTCATTGTCTGATTGAGTCTCTTTCGGTCCTTACCAACACCAGGCGATGTCTCTGGGTTTTACATGTGAAAGAGGTCAACTCTCGGGGAGGGAAACTTCCCTCCCTCTTTTGACACCATCTGACCTTCTTTGAAGTGCGTCTGGTTGACTTCACAACACCTCTTAGATTTTAATGAGTATAACTCAAAAGGCCACAACACACAACTCTGCCTGCTGCCAGTCACAAAACCATTTCCAAAGTTTCAGATGCTTCCACACTCAAAACTATTACTCATTTCAGCACAACACAAATCTGTCCTCATTTTTGTTCATTTATTTGATCTTTTCCAGATGCTCCAAAGCTTCCCTCTGTGTCACTGAGTCCCTCTGCTGAGATAGTGGAGGGCAGATCAGTGACTCTGACCTGCAGCAGTGAGGCTAACCCAGCAGCTACTTATACCTGGTTCAAGGAGAAAGGCAATCTAAACCACCTTCATCCTCGCAATACAAAAACACAGCTTGTCTTCAGCTCCATCCAGTCCTCTGACTCTGGAAAGTATTACTGTGCAGCTGAGAACGAGCTGGGGAGGAAGACATCTGAATCAGTCTTTATTAATATGAAATGTGAGTAAAAGCTAATTCTAAACACATAACAGAATAGATTACAACTTTTTAAAGCGTAATTATCCAGTCAAATGTTTTGCTGTTTAGTGAACAACAATGTGGATTTGTGCATTTTATATTGAATAAATCTGGAGCTATCCTAAATTCCTTTCTCCTCCCCAGAGAAGAAGGGGAGGGGTCAAAGTTGCTTTCTCTAAGTGCTAGCCCGACCATAAAACTGGCACCTTTTTGATTCCGAAGCTGATAACGCGGGGCCTGACTGTTAAACTGACAAAGGGACACGAACCAGCCATTGGCCTCTCCCTGAACAGCCTATCAAAACTGGCCCCCCACACACGTTTCCGTAGCAACTGACCTTATTCTTTGTTTTATCACCACATCAAAAAGAAAAACCCCTGTCTTACCCAAGTGTGACATGGTCCAGGACAGCCGAACTTTGAATGGCGAAGGACTGCAGTCTCCAAAGACTCAAAGCATTTAATTAAGTTTAATTAAATCTTTAGTTACCTGATTACGTTTGCCTCTATTTGAGTAGTTATGTTAACTGTTGTTGCTATCTGTTGTTTATTAGTGCTGAAAAGAAGTTACTTGTGCAGTGTTTTTATTTTCAGCAAGACACTCCTTCATCTAATGTAATCTAAGCTTTCCTCATGTAACCTGAGCTCCACCAAGTGTATGAAATAAGTATTACATGCCCTCGTTGGAAATGCCGTTAAATGTACAAATATCTTGACCAATAATGTGACAATTGTTTCCTGTTACCAAATGCCTAGGACAGTACAACCGTTCAACCATTGAGGTTCGATTGTGGAAAATATTTTATTACAAATAGATTTCTTTTTAGACATTAAGTTTAGAAAGGCAGTCGCTTGGGAAACCTGAGACGCCCCCTGGGGAACCACGCCCCAGGCAACAAAAGAGCGACACGCGACCTCGCTTTGCTCTTCTCTTCGCTCCTTGCACTCTCCGCTGCTCTGCTCGGCTCTCTGGACGCT